GTAATTACCATTTTCATAGATATTACTGAAATTTTAACCAGTTTACGCTCTCATTGAGCAATATATGAGGGTGCTTCTGTTCCCCTCCCTCTCAAGGGCCCTGGGTCTCCTGAGAAAGTGACCAAGTCTTTAAAGTTACATAAACTTGCTTTGGAATGACAGCTCTGTCTGTCACTCATTAGCAATATTCCCTTTCTAAATGATTAAATCCTTTGGAACAGGTTTTCTCACTTACCAAATGGAAAGAATAATACTTAATGGGTGTGCTCGCTATAGCATCAGTGAAACAGTGCAGGTGGTGAATCCAGAGTGGTGCCTGCTCAGGGTAAGTCATTTTCCTTACCTGAAATTCCTTAACACACTGCCCTTGTTTACACCTGCCTCCCATAGCTGTCTGCTTTTCCTGGAGTGCTCTTTCTTATTACTACGGTGAAGATTTGGGACTGGGATATAGTTCAGTGGTACAGTGCTTGTTAGCTTGTGTGAGGCCCTATATTCAGGTGCCAGTCCTGAAAAAAAAAATCTCACCGTGAAATAAGAGATACATGCTGGGGTTTTCACATCACCTTCCCCTTCTTACTCTGTCTGTATTTTCCACTCATGTCAGAAAAGTGATGGCACTTCTCTAGGAATTTACATCCTGTGCTCCTTGCTTGCAGAAATAGATTAACTACCAGATTTTGTTTGTGTTTTCTTTGTTTGAAATGGGGATTCCTTCCTAAGTTGCCCAGACTAGCCTCAAATTCCAGGACTCAAGTGATTCTCCTGCCTTAGCCACCTGAGTAGTGGGACACAAGCAAGTTCCACACATTCAATTAAGATTACTTTTGAATAATTTTGTGTATCAATTTGGAAAGATTATAGAGAATTGAGTGAAGAAATGACTTTTATGGGTGATGGAAACTGATGGAACCTGATGGACCTGAAGACTCTGCTTCCAAAGAAGATTTGGGAAGAGTCCCTCATAAAAGGGTATTTGTAAGTCAGACATGGTGGCATACTCCTTTAGTTCCAGTACTCAGGAGACAGAGGCAGGTGGATCTCTGTGAGTTCAAGGTCAGCCTGGTCTACATAGTGAGTTCCAGGCCAGCTGGGGCTGCAGGAAGACCCTGTCTCAAAAAGACCAAAAAAAAGGGGTTATTGTTATTTATAACCTCTGCTACTTCCACCACCTGTCCCCCAAATTCTGATCACACACAAAAAATATTGAGAAAAGACTGGTAGTTTCTACTCATTCTCAAACTATGTGAGTTCAAACAGTAAACATTAGCCACTGTGTGATATTGCTAGCTGTACTGTGGCATGTACATTTCCTATGCAAATTCACACCCCTTCTATTTTCCAAGTTCTGGCTTGGATCATAGAAAACTAGAGGATTCTGAGGTAGTTGAATCACTTCTCAGAGGCTCAGCCCCATTTTGATAATCTGGTATGTTTTGTGTGTTGGTGACAGTGAACCCAGGCATGCGTGTTAGCCTATGATCTACCACTGAGGTATATCCTCAACCCCTGATTTATTTTTCAATAAGATCTGCAAGAACTAAAGGCAATACCACTCCCACCAGATCTACTGACTTGTAAGGAAGAATTTACACAGGGAGGAGGTGAAGAAAGCAGACATGTTCACAGTCACTTCCTTCTTTGCACACTGCTCATTCTTCATGGCTATTTCCCAGTGGTTGGAAAGTGATTCACCTTCTAAATCTCAGATGGCTTCATGTTGTGGAGAAGGAAACCTGATGCTCTTTGTAGCAAGGCCACCTCAACCTTCCCTCCCCAAGCCCCACAAGAAGCCTTCACTGCAAGGAGATTTTAGCTAGTTTTGGCATGAAAAGCCAACATCAGATCATTCGAATGTTTTTTCTACTTCAGTTTGCCCATCTGCTCCAGGAAATCTGATTTAAATACATTTTTATCAGAAGCTTTCCACAGGCACCAAGTTACCTAGCAACTCGGAGTTTCCTTTAGTGAGTTGTTTCCAATATAAAGAGTGTTCACAATTGGGGAGGATGTGTTTTTAGCCTTCAAAGTTTATGAGGCAAGAATTAAATATTGAATCTGCCATTCTTGCTCTGCATGGATATAGAACCTATTAAATTACATAAAGTCTTGGGGGCTATATTTCTAGAGAGGAAATTTTAATTAACCTACATGACCATAAACTTAAATGAAATAGTTCTGTTTAATTTGCAACAACCAATCCAACTTCAGCATTACTTAGCTCTAATTTAGAATCTTTAAGAAAATCTAATTAGTGCTTTGCATTTTTGGCCTGCTTTGGTAAGTCAGAAAGATTTAGTATTTTGGGTTTTGGCAAATATATTCTTTGAGTTCATTATGAGAAAGTGGGCTTAGACTTGCAGGTCAAAATGGTGGGTTAAGCATGTTAAAAAATATCACTTATCTCCAAACACAGAGATTACACATAATATATTAGATACATATATGTATGCATCAAATACACACACCCACACATACATATCAATGCATGGCCACAATCAAAACAAACAAGGAAAATATTTATAAATTAAAGTAGAAATGAGAATCACAATTTCTTAGCCAGGTGGCTCACGCCTGGAATCCTAGCACTTGGGAAGCAGGGGAGGTGGAGCTCTGTGAGGTAGAGTCCAGCCTGGTCTACATTGCCAGTTCCAGGCCAGCCATAACTTTATGATGAGACCCTGTCTCAAAATTAATAATAATAATAATAATAATAATAATAGATAGGAAAACAAATGGTCAGCAAGGATTAAAGCTACACATCCCACTGAAAGCCAAGAATGAGTCAGACCACCAGTACCACTAGTTAGTTCTCTTTGGGGACTTAAAACAAGCTCAGAGTACAATTCTAGACACTTCTTAAGTATTAGCTGGAGGCAGAAAGATGGGTAGTTTGGGGGACAGTTGCATTGTCCTAAGGTTTGTATCTTGTTTGGAAGGATAAAAGCTGATTTGATTTACATACTTTTAAAACATTAACATAAACCAGAGCCTTAACACCAGCTTGGGAACTGGCTCCCATCACTCCTGCATGTGGTAAGAAACTGAAACCAGGTTCTCCATGAAAAACACAGAGTCGAAACCCTGTTGATGTATAGGAACAAAATAACTTTGCCCACCACCCAGGGTGGCAACCAAAAATATATTAATTTTCTATGCCCGACCAAGTTATTATTCAGTACTAAGGACAAAATAATCATATTTTAAAATTTACAGCTTTCAGGATCTCTCAAAGTCAAGTAAGTAGTGTGATAATATTAATTGCAGCAATGCTCATTTTTATACTTAAACTCATGGTTTTAGACACCGTGAGTGTTTGTTGGAGGTAGAAAGATGGATAATTTGGGTGAGAGTTGCACTGTTCTAAGGTTTGAATGTTGTCTGGAAGGATAGAAAGATCTGATTTAATTTAGATGCTTTGAAAAATGTTAATATAGGGAGTAGAGAGACGGCTTAGAGGTTGAGTGAATACTGCTCTCTCAGAGGACCAGAATTGGATTCCAGTGCCCACATCTGGTTGCTCACCCTCTTCTGGTTCATTAGGCAGCTGCATTCATGTGGACATGCCTACACATGACATACATATATACACAAAATTTAAAATAAAAATAAGTATTTAAAAAACATTAATATGATCGCATGCACAAAGTTGTGAAGGATATGACCTATGTGCTTGAGTTTTTTTTAATGATATTTACTTTTTATTTTTTTAAATTTTATTTTATGTGTATGAGCATATTGCATACATGTATATAAGTGTACCTATATTGTACAACGCCCTAGGAGGTCAGAAGACAGCATCAGATCCCCTGGATCTGGAGTTAGCTACCATGTGGGTGCTGGGAATTGAACCCAGGTCCTCTGCAAGAGCAGCTAGTGCTCTTAACCACTGAGCCACCTTTCTAGCCTCTGACTGAGATTTTTTTAAGCTTAGGACACCAGTTCATATTAAAAGATTGCAAAAACATTAATCAAAAATTTAAGAAAAATTTTTGTTGGTAGTGGTGCTTTGTTGAACAAAGTAATTTTCAGTTAGCAGCAAGTAGGAGACAGAACAATGACTAGATCTTCATAGAAGTGAAATCATGAGCAAAAGAGCAGACTTTGTGACAAAACTGAAAGGCCTAGGGCAAGGCAGCAGGTTCCCAAGTGACACGTGGTAGGGTGATTGCAGAGCGCAGCACATCTTTGAGCAGTCTAAGGCAGCGGTTCTCTAACTTTCGGGTCTCAGTGTCCCTTTACTGTCTCAAAAGCTATTGAGGACTTTTTAAAGCTCTCTTTGTAGGTTTATGTGGGTTATATAGGATATTTACCATGTTAGATATTAAAACAGAGAAAAAAAATTTTGCTTGTTTCGGTCTTTTTTGAGACAGGGTCTCCCTGTAGCTCCAGCTGGCCTGGAACTAGCTGCGTAGACCAGGCTGGCCTTGAACTCACAGAGATCTGCTGCCTCTGCCTCCCAAGTGCTGGGATTAAAGGCGAGCACCACCATACCCAGCTAAAACAAAGAAATTTAAAGCCAGTACAATAGCACCCTCTCTCTGATCCACAGGGCTATGTTCTGAAGATCTCCAATGGGTGCCTTCTTACAGTTTCCTAGACAGAAGATTCAGTCTTACGGTGCATCTTAGGAAGCTCAGCATATAATTTTCTTTTCTTTCAGCTTTTCACATAAAGGAAGCACATACAGCTTCTCTTGAGTATATCTGGATCACCAGAATCTCCATTACTCTTGCACTATGGAGTCATTTATTAAATAAAATAAGGGATTATTTGAACAGAAGCCCTATGATGTGACAGTAGTCTGTAGTAACATACATGGCTTCTAAGTGAAGAATGGGTGGGTGATGTACATATATGCTTCACAGAGGAAAGTGTGATGCCTGGGTGAGACCTAGTAGATAGTATGGAATGTCACCACACTAGAAAGAATGGTGTGAGAATGGTATACAACCTCAAACACTAATTTTTTTCTTGATTTTTCTGTTTAATATTGTCAGACCACTGTAGGTAACTGCCACAGAAAGCAAAAGCATGGACAAGGGGGATCTTGAAATACTCAAGAACATGTCCCATTGGCCATCAGTCACACATCCAATGGCATCACCGCACATCATATAACCTCTGAAATGTCCTCTGTAAGGGAGAAATCGAGAAAGAGGTAAATGGTGTCTCAGTATTGTTTGAAAATGCTTTTGAGCTCATAGACTTCTCTGACATAGTCCATGGGGTCTCCAGGGGTCCTCAGACTTTATTTTGAGAGTGTCCTTGAAGGCGTCAAGGTCCACCTCCAGCTGACTAAGCTCCACAGGTGTTTCTACTTGTGCCCTTCTCTGCACATATAGAACTTATTACCTCACATCCACTTGGCACTTATTTGGTAAGTGCCATCATCGATAGCCTTTTTTTTTTTATAATTTGACTTCTATTTTACTTATCTATTTTACTATTGTGCTTATCCTTAAAGATCTAGATCAGTCACCACCTTTGTTAATGCCCTCTTTCATGCGTATCTGTCCTTAAGTAGACCATTCTTATCTCTTGCACAGTATTTATTTATTCGTTCACTTTACCTAGTGCACTGTGAGGTTTTCAGTCTTTTCTATTCATTTGAATTGAAAGCAATCAGCTCTGGACTTGGCATATGTTAAATGCTTAATTATAGGCATTTGGTATTTGCTTATATGTGTGCATACATGTATGTGTATGTATGTGTATGCATGCACATGTTCATATGCACAAGCACACACACATTTGCCAAAGAAAAAAATCTGGCTCCTGGGCATGGTAGCACATGACTTTAATCCCAGCACTTGGTAGGTGGAACTCTGAGAGATTGAGGTCAGCCTGGTCTACATAGCAAGTTCCAGTCCAGCTGGGACAACAGGGAGACCCTGTCTCAAAAAAAAAAGCAAAACAAAACTGGCAAAACCCCAGTTTACCCAGGACAATGCCAGTGTGCATCTATATTCAGAGATGATTATAGACATCCTCCTTCCACTCACTCTAAAAATTGTCATGATGTGACAAACTGTGTGATCATTCTAAGATACCACTGTTTCTAATACTTTAGTTTTATTCTTTGGGACTTTCATACACTATATTTTGATCATATTCAACCCCCACTCCTCCCCTTAACTACTCCCAGATCTACCCCTCACCTCCTCACCCCCTCCCAACTTCATGTCCCCTTTACTATTTTTAAAAATTTTATGTTATGAGTATATTGCCTGCGTGTGTGTAAGTGAACCTGTGTTGAGCAATGCCCGAGGTGAGAAGGCATCAGATCCTCTGGAACTGGCATTATGGGTGGTTGTTAGCTGCCATGTAGGTGCTGGGAATAGAACCTGGGTCCTCTGCAAGAGCAGTTAGTGCTGTTAATTGCTGAGCTGAGCTATCTCTCCAGCCCATGTCCTCTTTTATTTATTTACTCATTCATTCATTCATTCATTCATTCATTGTTTTATTGAGACAAGGTTTTGTGACTGTCTAGGGGTCTTGAGCGGGTTTGTTTTCTTTACCAATTAAAGGATTAAAAATCAGGAAAAAATCTGACACAGAAGAAAGCAGCAGGTAACAAACTTTATTAAAAAAAAAAACAAAACCCAAAACATATGTACACTCACACAGAAAGAAAAGCTCTCTACTTTGGAAACCAAAAAAATCCGAAGCCCTTATGAAGGCTTGGGCCTTTTAAATGTTTTTGGTGAGTCCCCTTCCTCTAATTTTGAATTGGCCAACTTAAATAAAGAGGAAGCTAGGGCTGGAGAGATGGCTCAGTGGTTAAGAGCACTGGTTGCTCTTGCAGAGGACCTGGTTTCGATTCCCAGCACCTACTTGGAAGCTAACAACCATCTGTAACTCCACTTCTAGGAAATTCAGTGCTCTTTTCTGACCTTTAAGGGCATTGCATGACACAGGTGCACTTATATCCATCCAGGCAATACACTCATACACATAAAATAAAAATAATAAATAACAAAAAGAAGAGAAAGCTGATAGGCTACAGCTCCAAGCTGAGATAAGTCCAGGTCCAGACTTGGCCTTATCTGAACTGGTTTATACAGGTCTGCTAGAAGGGGACCTTGTGGGTGAGGAGTACTGGTCTTTGTCTCAGACCAAGAAACTATAAGTGTGCCATCTTTATTACTTAGTAGTGGACCTGTCTTTTTATCAGGGATTTCGTCTTTAACAGTCTCACTATATAGCCCTGGCTGGCCTGTAACTCATGATGTAGACCAGGCTGGCCTCAAACTCAGAGAGAATCCACCTGTCTCTGCCTCCCCAGAGCTAGGATTAAAGGCATGTGCTACTAGGTTCTGCTTAAAAAAAAAAAAGTCCAATTTGTGCTGCCCATATACTCATGGGTGTGGGGCCATCCACTGGAGTGTGGCTGTCTTAAGGGGCCACACCCTTAAAGATATCCAACTCTCTCTCCCGCAGAGGTCCTCAATTGTCAATAGCTCCTCAGCTGGGGGTGGGAGTCTAAGCCCTCCCCCCATGCTGGAGCACTGACTGGCTTGATCTTGTGTAGATCTTGTGCAGAAAACCACAACTGCTGTGAGTTCATGAGTTCAGGAGTCCTGTTATACCCAGAAGACACTGTTTCACTCCATCCCTCTCCCTCCTCTGGCTCTTATAGTCTTTCTACTTTCTCTTTCATGATGGTTCCTGAGCCTTGGAAGGGGCATGACACAGACATCCATTTCTGATGGAGCACTCCACCAATACTTATTCCCACCACTCTTTTTATTTAAGTATTTTAAAATATTTTATTTATTATTTTTATGGGTATGAGTGTATTGCCTGCATGTATCTAAGTGCACCTGTGTCATGCAATGCCTACAGAGGTCAGGAGAGAGCGTTGGAGTCCCCTGGAACTGGAGTTATGAACGGTTGTTAGTTGCCATATGGGTGCTGGAATTTGAACCCAGGTCCTCTGCTAGAGCAGCCAGTGCTTTTAACTGCTGAGCCATTTTTCCATCCCCTCAACTAGTATTTCTTAAAAAGTGACTTTACTTTCAGATGATTGTGTGCCACTTTCACAGAAATAAATAGTATGCCAAAACTGTCCAGGCAGGGCCATTTGCAAATAATTTCCCTGCTTTCCTAAGTATTTCAGCTGTGAATTGACATCATTCCTGCAGGGATCTTACAAATAGTATTTGCTATTCATCCTTTTGAGAGGGATGGGAAAAATGAGGGGGGGGGCAGACTAGCCCACACTCTCCTTGCACACAGAGGAATCGAATGGAGGTGGTCCCCAGCTTTTCCTTCTGGGGTACAGACAAGAAGGTGAGTGGACAATCTGCTCTCCAGCCAGCCTGCAGTCAGTTGGGGAGGGTTCAGAGAGTCTTGCTCTGGCCTCAGCTGCTCCACACTCGCCAGATCAAATATCAGCTGACAGGACCAACTGGTGCATCCTGGAGGTCTTTAAAAAATGATTTTCCAGCTGTGCAGGGCTGAGCCATTGTTCTCTCTCTACTTGGCTTCCTTCTCTTTGGCTGGCCCCGTGGCAGCAGCCAGGCCAGGCAGAATGAGGCAAATCAAAGAGTCCACAATAGAGTGGCCACCCAGCCACCCCACCTTCCCTCCTCCCTCAGCTGCCTGATGTCAGATCATCAAAGGCCCTGCATATGGCCTTGTGCTTGCTCAGCATTCCCCTCACAGACCTCCAGAATTTTCACAAGTTAGAAGAGGCGCCAGGAGAAAATTTGCGGCCCCTGAGGGTGCCCTAGGGGTGGTTAATAGCCAGGGAGGCCGACAAGAAAGAAGGAAGTTTAGTGTGCTACGGTTCCAATTGTTTGGCTAACAGCCGGAGGTTGACCTTGTGCTGGCGTTGTGCTGGCGTCTGCCACATGGCAGAGGCACCAGCCGGGCAGCATGTTCTGAGGGATGAGGGATAATAGAACTTGAAAATGCAAATGCTTTTAATGAATATTTCTCTCCCCTATATCCTCCTCCCCAGACCCATCTCAGCCTACAGCAGAAAGTCACCTGCTTTTCCCTCTAAAGTCTAACAGAGGGGCTCCCATATACAGGTATTCCACAGAGACTCATCCTGCAAGGCCAACAAGCCTGTTTTCCCTGGCTCATGGGTGCTGTGGGATGCTGTGACTTGATCCCATTTCAGGATGACAGCTGAAGTGACTACAGACCAAGAGGGTCCTGAGCTTTTATGAGAACCTGAGAACCTCTGATATTCAGGAGGGACAGGCCCGGAGGCCATGGACCTCTCTGGTCAGCTGTGTGAGCTCCCAAGACTGATGTAAACACAGCTCTCCCCTGCAGTGCCCCCAGGAGAATAACACCCAGAGCCTGTAAAGGACTGGGCCTTTACAGGACTGCTTTCTGCTCTGCTGCATGCCACCCTCACTCGCAGGTAATTCGCTCCTTCTAAATGTGACTTGGGAGAGACTTGCCGGTGAACCTCGTCAGTGTCAGCCCTGGATAACTTGATCTGTCTAGTCATGTCAAGAAGACACCATGTGGGACTCATTCTTGGCTTTCAATTCTGAATCCTAGGAATTTCGAGTAACAGGATCAATGCTTGAGAAAAGAAAATTGCTCCCTCTTATTTCCTATATCTAAATTCTCATCCTGATACCTGGATACATTTCCTGACCCTATAAGGGTTTTCAGGGGAGTAGGGAAGCTCTGTGCATGCAATCACATTTTAAAGATAGAGTCAGTCTATGAAAGTGTAACTGGCATCATTTTGGTATCGGTATCACCCACAATTATCAGGATTGTTTTGTAAAGTTAGGCAGAAACATAAGCTATGGTTATTTTGTTTTATAAATTTCCGTTTTTTTTTTTTAAAGGCAAAGTGATTCTTTTCATCTGTGAGAAAGAGAAAATGAACAGGAAAGGCACTTAGCATTGCTACATGGCAGTTGTTCAAAAATCTGCTTCCAAGGAGCTTGTTTGTGCAGTATTGTTTGCCCTGAACTCCATTGCAAAGACAAATTAGAGGTCTGCATCACTTCGAAATGAGCTTCAGAAACAAAACTGGGTTGGAACAAATTCTAGGAGATGTGATGCTCACATTTTCAATGGTAAGATACACAAACTGAATTAATTAGTGGGGAACTATTATTAGAGGCAAGCATTTCACCATCCATTAGCCGCTGCATCCTCACACACAGGCTGCCATGGTTGTTTAGAAGCTGTTGTAGTTTGCATAAAGAAAAAAAATTAAACTGGCAGCTCTTTGAATATCGATAGTGCTGAGATATCCTTCACCATTACTTTTTAAATCGATATGCCTTTTTCAAATACTTAAATTGTTTTTACTGAACAGCAAGCTGAAGCAATGAGCCTGGAATACGGTTGTTCTTGGAAAGGGCTTTGAAAGCATCCTGCTATCATTTTTTTTCTTTTTCAGAAAAGAAATTCTGGAGCCATGGACCATTGTTGAGCAGGAGAGGGAATCACTCTGCATTTCTGTAAAGGTGGTTAACCCGCAGGCAGAAACAACTGCTCAGGACATTTTTTGCAAATTTACATTTATGTTTGTTGATTCCATATTAAACTGAACAACCAGGCGCGTGGAAGGTAAAGCCCTCTTTTAATTAACCCTCTTGGTGTGGGCCCATGTGATTAAAGATGACGGAGCTGCTCCTGGGGTTTCTGCTACTGAAAATACTAACAATAATCATTTGTTTTGTTTTTATATTTAAACACATTATTGCATAGCTTGGTGCAGAGATAATTACCAATTTTATCTCCTGTGTTTTTCTAATGTTCATTAATAACAATAAAGGGTTGTAGGTTAAAAACTCATTTAATTGCCTTTATGTTAATGACATTATGAATAGCCTTAGCTACAAGATTCTAATTCTGTCCAGTATCTTCTTTCTCAGTGGGGCCCCAGGAGAGTGGCTCATTTTACCAGCATTACTGATTCAGAGTTTTTCCTTGCAGGTGGGTTTTTGTACATAATCAGAATTAATGCACAACACATTTCGCAAGGAATGGAGTAGAGGCACTCAGAATAAGTAATTAACTAGAATGCCCAAGGAAATACACCCCAGCATTTTTTTTAGCATATTCATAAAACATTAAGAACAGTCATAAACACAGTAGAAACAATTTCCTGGTAATGTGCTTTTAGACGAGATTTTCTCCACCCCCCCCTTCACATACAGGAAAATTTTTAAAAAACTGAAAATCCCAGGGTTGCAAATAAGATGCCCAAAGTGTGGTGCTTTGGGAATACGTGGGCTTCTGGCTGATGCAGCCAGGCTGAGCAGGAGTCTCAGTACTGTTTCCTATCCAGTCCTTGCCCTTGTCTCCATCACATAATTTGTCAGACAGGAAAAGAACTAAAGGAGCTTGCAGTGGCTCAGGAGATAGTAACTACCCTGCTATTTCCAACCTGGAGTGCTAACCCGGCATGAGCAAATGCTGGGCAAAGGACCGTTTCAAGGAAGCCTGTGATCTGCCATCCAGTTCCTCCTCCAGCTGACTCACTCATCCCTTGCTGAGTTACTGCCCTTGGGTTAGCAAGGCTACCATGCTCTTACCTCCAACCTCAGACATCCTGTAGAAAAGTTGTCAATGAAAGGGTTTAAAAGTCTGTTCCCCCTTGCTTCAGGGTGGGATAATTGAGAAGGGCTACTGCCCAGTGGGACTGTGTGAGGTCTTCCTTCTGCACTCCTCACTCCCTCAATCTCCTAGGCACCAATGGTGGCCTTTTTCCTGGGAACCTGGACCTACCTCAGAGGGGTGAGCCACAGTGACTCACAAGTCCACCTTCATGCTCCTCAGTGGGCACTGAAGCAGCAGATACTTCTAGACTGCTCTGACCTTGGTGTCTCCTTGGGTGCACTGAGCAGAGGGTGGCACCAGGAGCAGGTATAGATACTGTTTCTTTTTAGTGAACCAGCATCATATCAGCTGGGGTATATGAAATTGTTTAAAAAATCATAGGCCTGTGGGAGTGTGCAAATACTGCCCACAGACCTCAGATCAAGTACCTAACACCATCAAGCTTCAGTTTTCTTACCAGAAAGGCAGGGGCTAATGGCACAGGTAATATTTGGATGGTGTTTAGCATAGAATCCAGTAAGTAGTGGTGTTTGATACTTTCAGTAGCTCACTTTCCCCCTTCTTCACCTTCACATCAGTTTTTCATAGGGACGGTATGACTCTGGGTATTACCACTAATCTGTATACCATCCAGTTATTTCATGATAGAATTTTGAAACAGTCCTGGGTCAGGGTTTCAAAGAGATATTTGCATGCCTTTGTTCACAGCAGCGTTATACACCACAATTCAAATGTAGAAGAAAAACGAAAAACAGTGACAACAGACAAGCCAGGCATGGTGGCACATGCCTTTAATCCCAGCACTCCAGAGGTCAAAGCCATCCTGGTCTACATAGTGAGTTCCAGACCAGCTGGGGCTATAGGAAGACAAACAAACAAACAAACAAAAAAACAAACAAACAAAAAAAACAACCTAAAATGTAGAAGAAACCTAGGTGTTCGTCAACAGATGAATGAGTAAGCGAAGTGTGGTATAGAGTGGAATATTGAAAAGGAAGGGAATTCTGGAAGATGCTACAGCATGGGTGAACATTGAGGACATTAGTGCTGTGAAGTATGGCAGTCACAAAAAACAAATGCTGTATGATTCCAATGACATAAAGTATCTCACAGAGTATTTTAAAAAATCATCAATATAGAAGGTAGAGTGGAGAGGAGGGAGAATGGGGATTATTGTTTAATGGACAGAGGATATCAGTTTTATAAGATGAGAAGAGCTTTGGAGATATCCAGTGGTCATGGTTGGATAGAACTATGAATGTCTTTAGTGCCACTCAATGGCATTTTAAGTGGCTAAGAAGGCAAATTGTATTTTGTAGATATTTTACCACAATAAAACAATTGGGGGGAAAATTGTAATCATAGTAAGTATGAAATATGGAATCCTAATTTAGAGGAGAGGGAGGGCTGATTGTTCTTGGAGGTCAGCATGCATCTAAATGGGAGCCCACTCAGGAGGAGGTATGGGCCCACAGAGCTCCTGGTTAAAGGAAGAACCAGAGTATGTGTAAAAATCCCAGGTGTCTTAAGCAAGGCTGCCTTTAGTCTTTCCAAACATTGGTAAGGAGAAGCAAACAACGGTATTAGTTAGCTATGTACCTGGGTCCTTTAATGCGTTAGCTTATTTAACTATCATAACTTCTCTAACCTGTGATGTTAAACCTATTTTACAGTTGAAGAAACTTAAATTTAGTGAGATTAAGAAATGTTCTGTAAACAATGTGATCGTATATCTAAGAGAATCCTAAATGTATTTTTTTAAAAAAACATTTTATTTACCATTTTTCATTTTATATGCATATATGCATATATTGCCTACATGTAGGTAAGTGTACCCATGTCGTGCAATGCCCATGGCAGGCAAAGAGGCTGTCGGATCCCCTGGAACTAGAGTCATAGACAGTTGTTAGCTGCCATGTGGGTGCTGGGATTTGAACCTGGGTTTTCTGCAAGAACAACCAGTGTTCTTAACTGCTGAGCCATCTCTCCAGCTCCCCCTAAATGTATTTTTTAATCATGCAATTCTAATGCTAGAATTCTAGCTTTCAAATACAATGGCACAGATGTACAAAGTAAAACTTAATGGCTATCAACATGAGACTATTAAAAATGTTATAATATATCTGCACAATTGAATTTATGCAGTTATCTAAAAAAAGATGGATGGACATTGAAAGATGCTTCTGGCCTATCCCAATATTTCTATAAAATAACATTTATGATCAATACTTATGATTTTATTTATGAAAAAGATATGTATATAAAAGCATAAAAATATTTTGAAGAAAAAAGTTCTGTAAGTATATGTTAATAAGTTAGCAAACCAATGCCTCTGTTATTAACCACATGTAATGATAGAGAACAGAAAGGCTTGGAAACTTATTTTAAATTACCCACAATATCAATAATTCCCATTAGATGTTCTATTCTTTTTTAATGAAATTATCAAAAATTCAAGTCTCAGGGCTGGAGAGATGGCTCAATGGTTAAGAACACTGGCTGTTCTTGCAGAAGACCTGGGTTCGAATCCTAGCACCCACATGGCAGCTAACAACTGTCAGTAACTCCAGTTCCAGGGGATCCAACATCCTCTTCTGTTCCCCGGGTGCATTGCATGACATTGGTGCACTTACCTACATGCAGGCAATATGTGAATACACATTAAATAAATAAATAAATAAATAAATAAATAAATAAATAAATAAAATGTTACAAAAAAATTCAAGTCTCAGTCAAAGACTATTTTATGGTGGTGCCCAGGTTTATGATACTTTACAGTGATGTCAAAATGTCCTGGTGCTTTAACAATGGTGGCCTAGCTTCCATGACATCATAACTTAGAAACATAGGTCTTAAAATTAAAGATGTGTTTTCAAACCACAGGTAATAAGATCTGGAAGCAGTTAATGTTCAAGTGATTTTGGTAAAACACACTGTATGTCCAAAACTGCAGAGTACGAAAATACTATTTTCTTATAAAATGTTAAATTTATATAGCATATACAAATCTCGTCAAATGCTTTTACATTTATCTGGCATCACAATAACTTGGTGAGGCAATAGTAGAGTCCCATTGGTGGGGAAGATTTTACCTCTGCTATTTAAGTTCCAACAAGGCCCAACCCTGCTTAGAGTTCAGAATCATATGAGATCAGGCACGTTTTGGGTGGTATGGCTAAAGACAAGATTCTTTGTCTCCAAAAAACCCTGCCCTTAGGCCTGAGAGATGGTTCAGTTAATAAAGGTGCTTGCCATCAAGTTTGATGAACTGAGTTTGAGCCCCAGGACCCACGTGATGGAAGGACAGAACTGACTTTTGCAGACTGTCCTCTGACCTCCCCTTGTGCACTCTCGTATGCATACATCTCCCCATGCCCATTTACACAATGACAAAATGTAATAAAAAAGAATCTTCACTAATACCACATAGTCACTTGGCTGCAGAGATGGATCTTACCTCAATCTCTAAAGCTTTTGCTACTCATAGAGTAGGCCCTGGGCCCAAAACAGCAGAACCACCTGGGAGTTAAAAACTCAGATTCCCCAGACTTCACTCAGAACTATTGAACCAGAAACTGTCTTATAAAAAAACGTCTCAGATAGGAAAGATGGATCAGTGGGTAAAGCGAGGGCTCAAGCATAAGGACCTGAGTTTGGATTCCCAACACCCATGTAAAAACCCAGTGTCAGGGCTAGAGAGACGGCTCAGCAGTTAAGAGCACTGGCTGCTCTTGCAGAGGACCTGGGTTTGATTCCCAACACCCACATGGTGGTTAACAACCATCCTTAACTCCATTTCCACAGGGAATTCAATGTCCTCTTCTGACCTCCGCTGTCATTTCACGATATAGGTACACTTACATACATGCAGGCAATGCACTCATACACATAAAAGAAAAATAATAAAATTAACAACAACAACAACAAAAGCCTGGTGTGGTACGCACCTGTAACCCCAGTGCTCAGGGAGCAAAGACAGGTGAATTCTGGAATAGAGAGCTCCAGGTTCAGAGAGACTCTGTCTCAAAAAATAAGGTGGAGAGCAATTGAGGAACTCCTGCTGCTGACTTCTTGCC